TGCTGCAGTAGCCGAGTCTTCTCCTGCTCCAGGGAGAAGATGTACTCGGCCGTCTGCTGGAGGATGGCTGCCTGCAGGAGAGCCAGGAGGGACACGCTGTGTCCGGCGTCCCCCCAAGTCCCCCTCCTGCTGAGCTCCCTCCCTGCCCAGGAGACCACAGCACCGCTCCTTGCCCACCCCGGAGTCTTCATCCAGGGTCTGCTGCACCCCTGGGATTTCCACCATCGTGGACAATCCAGTTCATCCATCTCACGAACCCAACCGGCTGCTGAGTGCCACCTCCTCGTCCCACTCCCCTCTGCAGAGGGGCCACCTTGTCACCTTGTCACATGCCACCCTGCTCCCAGGGCGTGGGGTGCTGTCACACACACCCAGCCCATGCTGGGACACCAGGATTGCCACACACACCCACTCCCACTAAGGAAACCTCCCCAGGAGACACCTCCATTGCTGAACTGGGGGAGAAAAGGAGGCTGAGGGGAGACCTTGTGGCTCTGTGCAAGTCCCTTGGAGGAGGGTGGAGAGAGGTGGGGGTGGGTCTGTTCAACCAAGGACCAAGGGACAGGACAAGAGGAAATGGGCTCCAGTTGTGGCCAGGGCAGTTGAGATGGGATGTGAGGAAGAATTTCTTTGCTGAAAGGGTTCTGAGGCATTGGAAGGGGTTGCCCAGGGCAGTGGTGGAGTCCCCATCCCTGGAGGGATTGAAGAGTCGTGTAGACACAGTGCTGAGGGACATGGGTTAGTCATAGGGGACTGGTCAGTGTTGGGTTCATGATGGGACTGGATGAGCTTAAAGGGCTTTTCCCATCCAGGCAATGCTGGGATTCGGTGAATTAACATAACAAGCCCTGTGAGCGACACCAAACACCTCCACGTGCAGGACCAGCGTCTGCATCCCGCATCACCACTGACATCCCGCTCACCTTGCTGAGCTTCTCCCCGTCCGTGTGTGGAATGAGGGTTTTCAGAGACTGGAAGCCAGCATTGATGCTCTGCATCCGC